AGCCGGATGTTTACACCAGTTCAAGTGCCCACCGCGCTTTTTGCACAAATCAGAATGAACCTCTTTGGACCAATTCCGACTTCGCATACTGGAAACAAGTGGGTAATTGTCACTACAATCTTGCTCGCTACCCAGAAACAAAGGCTTTATCAAGCGGAACCGCAGTAGAAGTGGCATGATTTCTCGTTGAAGATATCGTTCTGAGGCGTGGTGCTTCTAGGATTATAATAATGGACAGAGGTACTGCTTTCACAACCATGCTCCTTACGTCAGTGCCTGAGCTCAGTCGTCATTGCCATTGACATCGACGTAGATCATAAAAATTTGGACGACATTCTACCATACGTGACGTTTGCCTATAATACGGCGCAGCAGGAAATTACCCGAAGCACGCTATTTAGTCTTTTTCATGGCCGTGAAGTGACGACAATTATTGCATGATGTCATGTTGCTGCACGACTGCGACAATACAGACACGGATGCTCAGGCATTTACCAAATGAGCTGAAGCGTCGCTGATTTGATTCCCACGCAGCTAGCATGCGTGCGAATTGCCCGGCAGCACAGTTACGACGCTGAACGTTATAACCTGCGACACCGATACGTAACTTATCAACCAGGCGAGAAAGTGTGGGTCTGGAGTCCTATTCGCCGACGCGACCTTTCTGAAAAATTACTGAAGAAGTACTTTGGTCCCTAGAATGTTGTATGGCGCCTAACTGACGTGAACTATGAGGTCATCACTGACAGTTCCTCGCGAACTCGCTAGCAGAAATCAGAATTCGTACACGTTGTGCGGATGAAGCCATATTGCAGTGGGCCAGTTGCATCTTACGTCAACTACATACACCGCGTACGTTGTAGCAGAGCATCGCGATGATGCTCTTTCTGGATGGAGGCAAATGCCGCATTTAACCTGCAGAGAAGAGCTCACGCAGCAAGAAAGACGAAGTTCTTTCCCGGTCCTCTTTATGAGCGCCTTGCAAGTAATTAAAGTGAGTGCTTCTATATTCGAATTCTGATGTGTCTGCATTGTGACAATGGTTGACTCTTACAATGGTACACTGTTCAATGGTTCACTGGACAATGGCTCACTGTTAGCAAGCTGGACAACGTACGCTTCATGATTCAGTGGTTTTGCGCCACACTGTTGAGTGAAAAGGCGTAGGTATAAGTTTGACGCCCGGCTGTAAATTTTTTTCTTTCTTGTTTTTGTCCGTCTGTTAGCAAATGTTTTCCGCATCATTTCCGTGATGCAAATACGTCAGCAGAGCCGTGAGAACTCCGGCATAAAACACTTTTGCGCTAAAAAAAGAAGCTTGCGCATCTTCTAGATGCCGTTTTTTCACTCATTTGTTCGTCATCGGACTTGCTTCAGTTTTCTTTAATAAAAACACAAACCCACAATTCCAATCTCGAACTCTGCAGGATGCCTAATGTGTGCACACTTGTTTATCGTGTGAAAATACTAGGCTGACGTAGAAGCAGAGACAATTAGACGTAGAAGCAGAGACAAGCAGAGACAAGCAGAGACTGAAGGCAATTGTTTTGTGACAGAAATGAACCCCAGAGTTTTTTTTAGTGCATTCGATGTACAGTGCTTGTGGTTAAAACGGGACAACTTAGGACTAAGTACAGCAGAGTATGTCATTGCGACCATATTTAGTATGGAAATATCGGTGGAAATTTTATTCATACTGGTAAGTCAGAGCTAAGATTGCCGTTACAGACCAGACTCATCATATGACATAGTTATCTCGAGCGATCTCTCATACCCGTTCGTATAATGAAGAACTTGTGGTCGCATTTGAATTTTTTAGTACTTGAGTACTTATTTGTGAGTAATTTCGAGAACGATTTAATTCGCGCTGTCTGAAAATTATTGACTCTTTGCATGAAAAACGCCACTGCTAATAAAATTTATTTATTGTAAAGCTTTTACAAACGCCATGAACGTGCACTTGCTCTGTTTTTATACATGTGATTTCTTTTGAACAGCAGCTGCAAATTCCACCTCGAAAGGTTTGTAAGCTGTGGCATGCAATGGTTCATTGCCGAGATAAGTATACGATAACGAACGCCATGAGCGCGTGTGATAACGTAGCCACTAGTGAAACGTGGCGAAAGCGGGATGTCAATTGAGCGCATTCGACGTGCTGGTCAGGCAAACTGGAAACAGAATTTTACTAATAAAACCAACGTGCGCTCCATCTATCGTTAACTGCAGCAAGCATATCACTTTCTACGTTTGGCAGCTGACCTTGGTTCAAGCGAGTCGCGGCCACGTGCTGGAGCGTTGGACTTAAAGGTCTGACGGCTGTACATATTGTTTAGGCCTGACTGCAGCCCATTCATTTGAATCATAACGTTGGAGTTGCAAATATGTGGTTGTTTAAATTGATGCGAGCCGTTTGCACAGGCTCTGTGCAGTTTTGAAGGCAGTTAGTGACATGCAACAGCATCACATGGGCTTACGGAACCGAAGCTTGTCACGCTTTGTGTAGCTGTGTATGTGTGTGTTTCGACACTCGAGCGGCAATCTTGGCCTCGATAAATTGACAAATACGCTAAGAAAGTCATTGCCTCTATAACAAGGCTGTCTAAAATGCCGAATGTACTACCACGCAAAGACATCAAAATCGTCGTCAGGCCTCGGGGAGGCCTAAACATTGCCAAGCTGCAGGCGACCGTGGCGACGGGCAATCGAGAGGCAGCGGGGACATCAAGAGAAAACGGCATGATAAACATGTTCTGCCGAAATATACACCGAAAAATCGCGGTGGTGAGCACCCCGGACGAGGGACAAGCCCGGGCTTTCGCCAGACATCAGCCCATCCGTGTTGGAGATCAAGTGCATGAGGTAGGAGCATATCAAACTACGCCAGACGGCGTGGTGAAGGGAATAATACGAGGAGTTCCAGTGAAGGATACGCCGGCAGAAATCCACCGTAACATTGTCCACTCGCGCAACCCGCTGGCAAGCGGAGTGCAACGTATTGGCAATGCGACAACGGTGATCGTGGCCTTTGAAAGGCTGAAGGTGCCCAATTACGTGTGCTACGAAACGGTACTCCTCCGGTGCTGCCTATACCACAAGCACGTGGACGTGTGCAGGCAGTGTGATGAGGTGGGACATAGGAGGGACGTATGCACCAACCCCAGTGCTAAAGTGTGTTTCGACTGTGGCGCCAGCAACCCGGCTGAGGGGCACGACTGCAAAGCCAAGTGCAGGATCTGTGGGGGGTCACACCCAACAGGAGACCACGACTGCAAGCATCAGTACAAGGTACCTTATGTGGTTACCAGGTGGCAGTGGGAAAGGCAGATGTAGGAGCAGTGTGCAAGACGGCAGCTGGCGATCCCGAACGATTTCTCGAAACTGGGGATGACAGCAAAGAGAGCAGCAGCAGCTGTGACCGAGCGGAGCACGTCACGTTCAAGTAAAAGAAGGAGTGCGAGTCCCCAGCGCGGCAGATCCAAGTCAAGAGAGCACGTTGGCTGCACGGACGCCATGAAAGCAGGAATCGGGAAGAGGGAACCGTCGCGGCAGCAGAGCCTAGTGCCGAGCGGTGGAGCTAACAGCTGGGACAAGAAAGCCGACTAGAGAGATGAGGAGATTGAGCCACTCAAAGATAACATAGTCATGCTTACCAGAGCAAACGAGGTACTCAAGCGAAAAATCGTGGAGCTTATAGCTGCGCTAGACATGTCAAACAAAGAAGTATTGACGCTCAAGATGGATCTGGTGAGATTACCCGCACCAACGCAGCAGTTGGCGGAGGAGCGGCAATGCGAGCAGCGACAACAGCATCTGCAGTACCAACAGGTGCAGTGGGCACAGACCTCGGCCCCGGCAGCCTTGCAGGCTATGAGGGAGGAGACTGTGGCAAACGAGACGACGGCGGTGGAAGTGGGACCGGTGCCAAAGAGGAGGGTCACCAAAAGTCTCAAAGAGCGGAGAATCAACGAGAGGCTCAAAAGAATAGAGATGAAGCACAGAGCGGCAATCAATGCATTCAGAGAGCGTTTTGCTAACATTTAAAGCGCACTACAACAAATCATGACGGCGCTGCTGGCGTCAGGAGGACAGGTATCAAGCCAACAACACCGCCCACCGCAAGTAAGGATAGAGCAGCAACAAGATCAGCTACAGCAGTAGGGATCACGCGATGCCTCCTGGTCTGGAAGTGGAATTGTAACGGCTTTGCCAGAAAGAAGGCCGTCCTGCAGCAACAACTCGAACAGACAACCGTGAGGCCCGACGTCATCGAACTGCAGGAAACCCTCACCGAAGAGGTCAAGTGCCCGGGCTACACTGCGAGCCCTTGCGATAAGACCGGCAGCACGGTTTAATGCGCCTGCACTCTGGTGAATAAAGGCGTCACTTTCCTTGAGCACTAGGTACTCGACGAGAACAGCTTGATTGAGCAGACTTTCATCGAGGTGATAACCGGGAAGAAAAGTAGGAAGAAGACCGCATTTATACTAAGCGTCTATAGCATCCTGGCACATGAGAAACAGAAGTTCAAAGATCTGTCACACAAAGCCAACCGCATCGCCAGCCCGAGCAAAAAGCTGGTCTTGTGCGGAGACTTTAACGCGCCGTACCAGACCTGAGGCTATGGCAGGACACTGTTCAAGAGCCTAGGCCTCCTGCAGGACACGACTGACCTAGGGCTGACCCTGACCACCGGCCCGGCAGAGCCTATGCAGATCGGCAACTTGGTCACCCGAGACAAGACGCTGGACCTCGCGTTAGTTCGAAGTGGCGGCAGCGACCATGCGATTACGGAAAACTTTGCCTGGTGGAACACGGGGTATGAGCTGGTAAGCGACCACTACATCGTGGGGATCACCACCCCGCTCAGCAACAGAGGTACCGTCACAAAATTCAGCAACGGCGCCAGGACGCACAAGGTCACCGACTGGAACACCTTCTGAGGGTCACTACCGGCCGAGAAGATGGTGATCGATGACATCGAGAAGTAGACGGTGGGGCTCATGGAGCGGGCCGTGGCAGTGACTAGGGAGATCGAGACAGACGCCAGTATTGAGCGACTGGACAACCGCCTAGCTCACCTCATCGAGGTGATGCAGGCCCTCCTCACGAGGTGGAAAGCGCAACGTACCTACGGGAAGGTCCACAAGAAGATCGCGGAGCTGAACCCGAATGATCGAGGCCCACTGTAGAACACCGTGCGCCCAGCGATGACACTAGATCTGTGTCGCATATCTGTACATGCGCGCTTGTGCGATACACTGTCACGCGGCCCATATCGCAACACCCTCGCCCACGATGTGCATAAAAGCGCTTGGCGCGCGGTGGGCCGGGGGCACTTTCCTTCGGCACTCTTGGTTATCGCTATGTTGCTGGCATGCGAATGAAGCATGTTTGAGTACTGGCGGCGTCTTCATACCCGGAAGCCCTGATTGATTGATTGATTGATTTGTGAGGTTTAACGTCCCAAAACCACCATATGATTATGAGAGACGCCGTAGTGGAGGGCTCCGGAAATTTCGACCACCTGGGGTTCTTTAACGTGCACCCAAATCTGAGCACACGGGCATACAACATTTCCGCCTCCATCGGAAATGCAGCCGCGCAGCCGGGAATCGAACCCGCGACCTGCGGGTCAGAAGCCGAGTACCTTAGCCACTAGACCACCGCGGCGGGGCTACCCGGAAGCCCTGGAACACGACATAGTTCTTGGCGACGAGGATCTTGGGACCTTGGTGGACTGCCACAAGAAGACAAGTCAGCGAAACGATGTCGGTGCACTTGGGGCAAGTAGAATCATTCGATGACTCTTCAGCAGATTGGGCTAGTTATGAAGAACGCCTCCAAGCATTTTTGCATGCAAACAAAGTCTCGGAGGATCAGAAGGCTGATACCTAGATAAGCCTAGTAGGACCGAAGACGTACGCATTGTTAAAGTCGTTAGCGTCTCCTGACACAAAGAAGTCTTTTGAAGAACTTCTAAGCTTACTGCGAAACCACTTTCTTCCTAAACTGTCTATTATCGGCGAAAGGGCCACATTTCATCGCCGCTCACAACTGCCGCAAGAGACTATTACTCAGTATACCGCAGAGCGGCCTACACTCGCGCAAACTTGTGAGTTCGGTACTTTTTTTGATCAAGCGTTAAGGGAAAGATTTGTTTGTGGCTTGCTCCGGGCTGACATACAACGAAGTTTATTTGCAGAAGACAATCAGTTAAAGTTTCAGACAGCAGTTGATCGTGCGATAGCCATTGAAGCTACGATTCAAAGCGCATCTGCTACGCGCTCAACAGCACAGCAAGAATTTCAAGTGCACAAAGTTAAAAGCACTGGGGAAGCTTCTACCTCATGTTATCGCTGCGGATCGGTGAAACACACCACCAGCTCTTGTCCGTATGCGAATGCCAAATGTTTTCATTGCAACAAAAAGGGCCACATCAAGAATGATTGTCGGAGCAAACAGCAAAAAGAATCGAAAAGTAAAAATAAACGGCATGTTAGTACCTTGAAACTGCCACGAAACAATTTGAAGAGTGTAAAACCTGCTGCAGAGGCAAGAAAAAAACCAATCATGGTCGAGATCGCTATCGACGGCGTACCAGTGAACATGGAACTCGATACAGGGGCTGCGGTATCTGTGATGTCTGTCTCACAGTTCCGTTCTCTTTTTCCCAGAGCTCATTTGCGCAGGACAAGTCTCACATTGAGAACCTACACAAATGAACCCGTGAAGCCCTGCGGAGTAGCGTTTGTTGCAGTCCAGTACAACGCGCAGCGCCAACAGTTGCCTTTTGTACGTGCTCCGCCAGGACGGCCAGCCGCTGTTGGGGCGCAGTTGGCTACAACACCTCAAGCTGGACTGGACGCAAATACAAGGTCTTCACCACATGCAGGTGGGAAACACAAATGGCTTTGACAGATCGCCTAAACTAGAGTCCTTGCTAAACTGCTATCCGGACCTGTTTAAGGACGAACTCGGCGCAGTAAAGGGAGAAAAGGCTACCCTTTTCTTAAGGGGTGACGCGAAGCCAAGATTTTTCAAAGCCAGAAGCGTGCCTTTCGCGCTAAGAGCTACTGTCGAGCAGGAATCGTCGAAGCTCCAAGAGCTAGGGATAATTACACCCGTAATCACAAGCCCGTACGCAACGCCTGTCGTGCCAGTTAAACGCGATGGTTCAGTCAGACTGTGCGGTGATTACAAAGTCACGCTAAACCCGATACTGGCCATCGAAAGGTATCCGCTACCGAAAGCGGACGAGCTATTTGCCGCGCTGGCAGGCGGACAACATTTTTCAAAGATGGACCTAAGCAGAGCGTATTAGCAGGTCGAAATGGACGGCGAATCCAAACAATACCTTACGCTGAACACGCACAAGGGTCTGTTTCTGGTCGACTGCCTACCGTTTGGCATTTCATTAGCTCCCGCAATATTTCAGCGTATTATAGATAACGCGCTGAAAGGACTAAACGGCGTAACTTGTTATCTCCATGACATACTGATCGCGGGCCACACAGAAGCAGAACACTTGCTCAACTTGGAAGCTGTGCTGAAGAGGCTATCAGAACGCGGATTTCGCGTCAAACCTTCAAAATGCGATTTTTTTCGCAATGAACTGCAGTACTTGGGTCACGTCATCGCAAAAGACGGTGTTCGCGCCCGACGAATGAAAAGTTGGTCGCAAATGCAAATGCACCATCTCCAACAGACAAACCGCAGCTGCAGTCAGTGTTAGGACTCATAAATTACTATGGAAAGTTTGTTCCGAATCTGTCATCCATACTCTTTTCTTTGAAAAAGCTCTTGAGTAAGGACGAACCTTGGCAGTGGAACGCCGCTTGTCAAAGTGCGTTTGCGCAAGTAATAAAACTGCTGTCGTCAAAGCCTATTCTGATTCACTATGATCCCAGTTTGCCATTGCAGTTGTCATGTGATGCTTCTTCCTACGGAATAGGCGCAGTTTTCTCACACGTTTTTCAAGGCCAAGTTCATCCAATAGCCTATGCTTCAAGAAAGTTAACAAAAGCAGAACAAGGTTACAGTCAATTGGAGAAAGAAGCATTAGCTCTTGTTTTTGGAGTCAAGAAGTTTCATTACTACGTTTACGCACGGAAGTTTGTATTGCTCACAGATCACAAGCCACTTAAGATGATCTTTTGCCCGAAAACAGGCATTCCTGCTATCGCAGCTGCCAGACAGCAACGCTGGGCAGTCACGCTTTCTGCATATTCTTTTTCGTTACAATATCGCCCTTCAGCACAGAACGTGGACGCTGATAGCTTATCGCGCCTTCCAATGCAGCAACCGGGAACAGACGGGGCAAAAGAAAATTTTCTGGTTTTGCGTTTGGACAGCATGCCCGTCTGCAGTAAACAGATCGCAGAGGAAACTGCACGGGATCCAGTGTTCCGTCAAGTAGTGCAGTACATCTTGTCAGGCTGGCCTGCTAACGTATCTGTGAACCTGAAACCTTTTTTCTGCAAGAAACTAGAGCTTTCTTTTTATCAAGGTTGTGTCATGCTGGGAATGCGTGTGGTGGTACCAGAAAAATTCCGTAAATTTGTCCTAGATGAATTACATGAGGGGCATCCGGGAGTGGTGCACACAAAAGAGCTTGCAAGAAGCTATGTGTGGTGGCCAAATATCGATCATGACATAGAGATATGGGTCGGCTCTTGTCACGCGTGCGCAGAGACGCGCAGTTTGCCAGTGAAAGCGCCGCTCCATCCATGGTCCTGGCCGACGCGTCCTTGGCAACGCCTACACATGGACTTTGCAGGTCCAATAAAAGGTATATCAGACTTAGTAGTAGTTGACGCCCATTCCAAGTGGCCAGAAGTATGTTCCATGACCGCCACTACTTCAGAGGCAACCATTGCTTGCATTCATGAACTTTTCTGCAGATTTGAATTTCCAGAAACACTCGTGTCTGACAACGGAAGCCAGTTCGTTTCTGCAGAGTTCCAAGCCTACCTCAAGCACAGGGGCATGTGGCACGTAAGAACCGCACCGTATCACCCAAGTAGCAACGGACTGGCTGAACGTTTTGTTCAGACTTTGAAGTCAGCGCTCCGCAAGACCAGTCCGAGGAGCGCCAGTGAGGAGTTAGCCGACTTCCTTCTGGCGTATCGTAATACGCCTCATGCTACGACAGGGGAGGCCCCTTCCACTTTGCTCCTGGGGAGACGCCTGCGGACCAGACAAGACCTGTTACGACCAGCGGTCGAGAACAGAGCGCGCCAGCGCCAGTTCGACCAGACAAGGCGTCACCCATGTCGCAACAACGTCATCGCTGTTGGTGATGCCGTTCGTGTGCGCAATGTCCGATCGGGACCAAAGTGGCTGTGTGCAACAGTTCTTGCCCGTACGGGACCATTGTCACATCGGTTAAGTGTAGTGACTCCTCGTGATGTGTTCCAGTGGATTCGTCACCAAAATCACATCCGCAACGATAACACCGGCATCGCCACGGAGTTCGAACTACCCTTCAGTAAAAGGCAGCAAGAAGTTGCCTCACAGGTCCTGACCTGCGACTCATCACATGACGTCGACAGCTCGCTCACCGCACAAAGTGAACCGGCGGACACTGCAAACGCTCCTAACGAACGTCGCTACCCGCAGAGACAGCGTCGCCCACCTGATCGCTTTGTGCCGTAAACTTCTTGGACAATGCTTGGGGATCCAAATAAGTGTGGGGGGATGTCGCATATCTGTACACGCGCACTTGTGCGATACACTGTCACGCGGCCCATATCGCAACACCCTGGTCCACGATGTGAATAAAAGCGCTTGGCGCGCGGTGGGCTGGGGGCACTTTCCTTCGGCACTCTTGGTTATCGCTATGTTGCTGGCATGCGAATAAAGCATGTTTGAGTACTGGCGGCGTCTTCATACCCGGAAGCCCTGGAACACGACAATCTGTAGCGCGGCGGACGAGCAGATGCACTGCGGCAGGACGTGGACCCTACTGCGGAAACTCCTGGACGAAACCAAGACCAAGTCGCACCAGCGAGACCGGTAAACCAGGATCATGCACGCTGTGGTCACAGAATGCGGAGAGGACGAGGTGCGAAGGCGCACGGACGCCAAGTACCTGGCGGCTACCCCGGAGATGCACCACCCGGACTACCAAGGGGTGGTCAACTCGAGCCTAGACAGAGACATTGAGGTATGGGAGGTCAGGGAGGCTTTGCATGACATCAACGCCAGATCGGCGGCCGGCCCAGATCGAGTGACGAACAAGGTGCGGAAAAAACTCGTCGAGTAGGCGATCAAAAGCCTGACGGATTACTACTACCGGTACTGGCGGGCTGGGACTCTCCTACACAGGGGAAGGCGACCAAGGCCATACTAATCCACAAGCCGGGGAAGCCGCCGGACATTGGGAGCCTCTGGCCCATCTTATTCGCGTCCTGCGTGAGCAGGGTGCTGTAGCATGTCCTGATGAACAGGGGCAGTGGTACCTAGAGGAGCCGGGGCTCTACCCAAACACGGTCATCAGCTTCAGGAGCAAGCTGGGCACCCAACATGCTATGATCTAGCTCGAGAGCGAGATTTCAGAGGAGAAAACTAGGTCAAAGAATAACCGTGCCGTGCTCGGCCTGGACCTGCAAAGTGCCTTTGACAAGATGACACACTCAGCGATTCTGGCGCAGGTGTCGAGGCTGAATAAGGGCGAGCGGTCATACAGATACACCGAGCATTTTCTGTTGGGTCGCACGGTTGAAATACACGCGGGCGACCTTCATTTACAGCAAAAGAAGCTGGGCAGCGTGGGGACCCCGTGAGGGTCGGCCATCTCGCCGATGCTGTTCAACCTAGTAATGATGGGAGTGGCTGAATGGCTTTCTCGCATCAGCGGGGTCCGGCACACCATATACGCCGACGATATCACACTCTGGATCAAGGGAGGTAGCGACGCCCAAATTGAAAACACACTGCAGGCAGCGGTGGATGCCATTGAGAAGCAACTGGATGGCTTGGGGGGGGGGGGTGTTCACTGAGCTAGTTGGAGCTGCTCATGGTGCCACTGAAGGGAGTGAGAAATAAGAAGCATGACCCAAGAAGTAACCGCGACAAAATCACGATACGAACGAGTGGCGGCCAACTGATACCGCCCGTCAAAAAGATCCGGGTGCTGGGCATGCTCCTAGAGCGAAGTAGAGCGAAACAAAACGAAACCATCAACCGCCTAACGGCTAAAATCAACATGGCCATACGCCTCATCAAGAGAGTATCAAGTAGAAGGGCCAGAGGCATGAAAGAGGCCAGCCTCACGTGGCTAGTCCAGTCCTTTGCTGTGAGCCATATTGCCTATATGGCAGCCTTCCACAATTGGAAGGTACACGAGCGCAACATGATCGACGCGCTCATACGAAGGACCTACAAGACAGCATTCGGGCTTTTTGACTGTAGAAGCACAGAGAAGCTCTTGTTTCTGGGGGTGCACAACACCCTCGGAGAAATTGCAGAAGCACAAAGGACCGCCCAGTTAGAGTGGCTCTCGGGCACTAAAACCGGCCGGCAGGTGCTTCGCAACCTAGGAATGAAGCTGAGGAGAGTGGACGGTGAGACTGCGAAAGAAGCGGAGGTGCCAGAGTGTGTGCGCAGACACGTGCAAATGCACCCGATACCCAAGAACGTAAATCTTAAGTACAACAGGGAGTGGAGGGTAGCAACAGCCAGGGCCTTGATCGACCTGCAGGCCAGAGACAACGGTGCTATATACGTGGACTTGGCATAGTATAAGCATAGAGGGCAGGAGAGGGAGATTTCGTCGCGGCAGTGGTCAGCGTGGTCGCCGGCGAGAGAAATGTGGTGGCGAGCATGTGGGCGCGAGCGGTGCATCGGGCCGAGGAAGAAGCCATCGCCCTGGTTCTCGCCGACACCGTATGCACGATCGTCCTGAGCGATTCCAGTGCCGCGGTGCGGAACTAGACTAGAGGCGGAGTATGTGTAGCAGCAATGCGGGTGCCGCGTATGGTGAACCTAGCGGAAGAAACGTTGACAATTAAGTGGTTCTCGGCCCACATGGGTAAGGAGGGGTCACCTTGCGGCAGCGCGAACCACAATGAGACGGCCAACGAGGCGGCGCCGCCTCGTTGGCCGACACAATGGAGGAGTGGTGGTGCGAAGACAAAGACAGGATGACAGGATACAGTGAAGTATTAAAATGGTACAGACTAGGGCACAGGGCTATGCCCCCTCCTCACCCGCGCCTGACCCGAAGTGTGGCGGTAGCGTTCCGGACACTGCAGACGGGGTCGCTACCCACGCTGTTTCTCATGAAGCCCGTTTGTTCTGACGTATACGCAAGTGGCTTGTGTCGCGTGTGTGGAACTGAAAGAGCTACTACGGCCTACATTTTGTGGGATTGGGAACAGAATCCGAGAGAGGCAAGAACAGTGACGACGATTCCGACGTGGCTTGCGGCTGTCGAGGGAAGCGACCAGCGGGAAAAGCAGCCACGGGCCGTTCAGTGGATTTTCGACTGCCCTTGAAAAGCAGCGTCCGAGCGAAAGCGCCAAGTGCTCGCAGCCACCCTAGCACAGGGGCAGGCGCGGGTGCCAGAACGTGGGAGTAGCGAAGACTGCTCGCCGAGTAGAAAACTTCACGCCTTGTTGATGTGTGACCACACCACGATAACCCTCTCCTCACGAGGCTTTGAGTGTCCTCCGCCAGATAATCAAATAAAGTCTTTTTCACTAACTCACAATGTGTTTATTACAAACGATTCATCGAAAAGGCTTCACTGATTACTGAACCACTAACGAGGCTCACGAAGAAAGACACACCTTTAATTTGACTTAGCAAACACGAAGAGGCGTTCAATGAACTATGCAAGCGTCTTCAGAGTCATTCAGTTCTTGCTCAATACGACCAGGAAGCGAGAACGAATCTCCACAGCGATGCGAGCAATTGAAGGCTCGGAACCGTACTCATTCAGTGGCAAAATGTACAAGAGCGAGTGATTACGTGCGCTAGTCGCACTCTCTCGAAAGCTTAAGTGAACTATCCAGCGACAGAAAAAAGATGCCTAGCAGTCATATGTGCCATCAGCAAGTTGCGGCTTTATTTATACGGTAAACCTTCTCGATGCATTATTGACCATCATTGATTTCGCTGACTCGCTAACCCTAAGGACCTTTCTAGACGGCTTGCAAGGTGAAGCCTGCAGCTACGGGAATACGGTGTAATGGTTGTATATAAATGCCGTGGCAACAACAGCGATGCTGATTGCTTGTCGCAAGCACCAATTGAACTCACTGTCTCTAATTCAGTAGAAGATGGGCAAGATTTTTCTCTTCTTAGAGCAGTAACGTCACAAATGGCGCATCATCAGCAATGGGACCCCGACTTACTTCTACTGAACAATTACTTAAAAGGGCACTCTGCCGACGTTTCACAAACCTTTCGGCGTGGTTTGGAGATGTTATCTTACGGAATAACGTCCTGTCTAAAAGGAACTTTGAGCTCTATACAACAACATTCCTGCTTGTCGTCCCGTCCTGAGATCTTGGAGACTTGCCACAATGACCCATTATTATGACACTTGGGAGTAATCAGAATGGTAACGTGCATTCGTACTAAGTATTACTGGCCGAAGTTGCTGAGTTTTGTGCAACGCAATGTAAGAACTTTTCGGGACTGCCAAAGATGTAAGACGCCACCGTTTAAACCTGCTGGGCTCCTTCAACGTATGCCACCAGGAGCACTCGATCAAGTGGGAATGGACATACTCGGCCCATTTTTCATTTTAAAGTGTAAAAAGCGTGGATCATGGTGGCAACTATCTGACTCGGTACACTGAGACTATTTCTCTAGTTAGCAGAACAGCTGTTGAAGTCAGCAAATTCTTCGTGACCAAAATGTTATTACGTCGTGGAGCCCATACAGTGCTGATAGCGGATCTACGAATCGCGTTTACGGCTGATTTGACGAAGTCCACAATAAAATTGACGCACACCAATCTTATAAAAACAACAACGTGCCATACACAAACAAATGGAATAACCGAGCGTTGGCTGATATGTTGTCAACGTGTTATTATGATGCAACGAGCAGCGGACCAAATATTGCCGTTTGCAACGTAAGCTTACAATACCGCACTGCAAGAGACGACCGTACGACGCCCTTCGAACTTGTTTTTCGGCGGACAGTCACCAAAACTTTATATGCAATGCTACCTGTAGAGGAAATGTCCGTAAAATTGTGTGTGTAGAGGCATGACTATGGTATCAGTGACTTTACACAAGGGGCAGAAGAAGCGAGACAGCTTGGACGCCATCGTATTCATAAGAAACAAAACGTTGACAGGCACAAATACAATCTGCGATGAAGAGATGTCCGATATGCACCTAGTGACACAGTCTGGGTGTGGACTCCCGTACGAGTACGTGGCGGGCCTGAGAAGCTGCTTCGCCGCTGTTTCGGTGCCTACAAAGTTGTTCGACAGACTGGTGCAATGAACTACGAATTTGTTCCGGAGGGACAAGAAACTTCATCACGATGTCATCAGCACACATAAATTGTGCACGGCGTAAGAATGAAACTTTGTCATGACAGACAATGAAGTATCGACAGGACCCCTCCTCTTCACGAAACAGCTTTCACCAAGAGGTAGGATGAATGAATCTGCAAATGGGCTGGCATGAAGC